ACTTCTGTTGTTAGGCAAGGAGAATGATAGGACAGCCACAAACTGGGAGAAATATGTGCAAAAGACTTATCTGATAAAGGAGTGCTGTTCAAAATATTAAAGGAACTCTTAAACAATAAGAAAACGAACAAAATGATTAAAAAATGGGAAAATGATCCAAACAGACATTTGACCACAGAAGATGACAAATAGTATATGAAACAATGCTCAACACATGCTGTCAGGGAACTGCAAATTTAAACAATGAGACACCAACACATACTACCAGAATGGCAAAAACCCAAAACACTGGCAACATTTAATGCTGGTGTGGATGTGGAGTGGTGGGAACTCTGATTCATTGCTAGTGGGAAAAAAGAAATGGTACAGCTACTTTGGAAAATAGATGGTTTCTTACAAAACTAAACATAGAATCCAGCAATGTCACCCCTTGGTATTTACCCAGCTGAGCTGAAAGCTTATATCCACACAAAACCTGCATGTGGATGTTTATTGCAGCTTTATTCATAATTGCCAAAATTTAGAAGCAACTAAAATGTCTTACAGTAGATGAATGGACAGATAGACTGTGGTACATCCAGATGATGGGATATCATTCAGCACCAAAAATAAATGAACTATCAAGCTATAAAAAGACACAGCAGAATTAAAGGTATATTTTTAAATGAAAGAAGCCAATCTGAAAAAGGCTGCATACTGTCTGATTCCCACTTTATGACATTCTGAAGAAAGCAAAACTATGGAGGCAGTAAAAAGATTATGAGTTGCCAAGGAGGGATCAACAGGTAGAACACAGGAAATCTTTAGGGTAGTGAAACTCTTCTGTATGATACTATAAGGGTGGATAAATATCATTTATTCCGCATTTGTCAAAACACACAGAATATACAACACAAAAAGGAAACTCTGGCTGGGCGCAGTGGGTCATGACTATAATCCTAGCACTTTGAGGGACTGAGGCAGGAGGATTGCTCGAGTTCATGAGTACAAAACCAGCCTGGGCAATATAACGAGATGTCGTCTCTACAAAAAAAAATTAGCTGAGTGTGGTGGTGCACAGTCCCAGCTACTCAGGAGGCTGAGGTGGGAAGATCACTTTAGCCCAGGAGGTCAAGACTATATGAGCCGAGATTGCACTACTGCACTCCAGCCTGGGTGACAAAGCAAGACCCTGTCTCAAA